GGAGGGCCTGCGGATGTTGTAGCTGGGGTGGAAGTTCAGCCGGTTGTAGGAGGTGATGCAGTTGTCGGCGCCTGACACGGAGCTCTTCTCCACGTGGACGTTGAAAGAAGTGTTCCGGAACATTCCCGCAGCCGCCAGTTGTCTGGAGAAGCTATTTGAATATGCGTAGAACGCTTTCTGGAAGGGCAAAGGGAGCACAGGGTGCATGGGGAGACGCTTACCCGTTCGTCATTCGGTATTTTGGGGAGAAAAAGAATTCGTAAGGAAACGTCTCTATTCTTGCGAAGCAGCGAGGCCAGTGCGACCGGAAGGCCTAGTTGCCCCCGGCCGTCCCCGGCCAAGTCCGCCATCTGGACAATGACCAGTTGTGCCTCCTCCCACCGTCACACGGAGGGAAGGGTCAGCTCCGACCGCCTGTGTGTGGCATGGCCACCCCAGTTGTGGCCACGAGCCCTGACTGGGGGTCCCGCCTCAAGCCACCCCAGTTCCTGGTTTACAAACTGTGCCACCAGACCGGTTATCGGACGTTTCTTTGTTTACCTCAGACTGACGTGTGTGTGCATAAGTGTGTGCGTGTGCACGTGCGTGTATGTGTATGTGTATGTGCATGTGTGTGTGTGTGTGTGTGTGTGTGTGTGTGTGTGTGTGTGTGTGAGTGAATGGGGCCGGTCCCTCGAGTACCATGGGCAAGTGCACATGCACTCTGCACCCTTGAACAATTTCACCGCCAGATCTCAGGGCGAGTCCTTCATTCCTACCCGCCCTGCTCCAGCGGGCTCCGCGGTCCCTCCCACTTTGCCGCCTGGAGCCCTGGGCCCTCCCAGCCCTCCCCTGAGGTGTGAGGCCCTTTGAGAAATCCATGGTTCAGGTCTCTTATAGAGATGCCCGCCCTCCCCGGGCTCTTGCCCGCTTACCGGCATCTCGTGCACGGTGGGCGCCCTGCTCCCGTAGGTCTGGTTACTGGTCCTGTACACTGAGGGGGGCTCCTTGGTCCTCCTGGCAGGTGACACACACCCTCTGTTTTCCGTGCATTCGTTATCACCCTGCCTGAGCCCCGGCCTGCACGGGTCTGACGGGTGGAGCCTTGTTGGAAGTGCCCCAGGTTGGAGGTGCAGCCCCAGATGTGGGTTCCCGGGGAGCGCAGTGCAGCCTCCTGGTCCCTCTGCCCACCTCTGCCCCTGCCCTTCCCAAAGAAAAGCCCTAGAGAATTTCCCAGGGTCACGCGCTGGACCTCAGCACCCGTCGGCCGGGCACACGTGGTCGTTTCCCCATAGGAGGGTAGGCCTGGGGCTGTGTGTGGCTCAGCCTCCAGACCCGCCACCCAGGGGCCTCCACTCCCCGCCTCCGGAGAAGATGCCTGCAATCCCTGGTGCCAACTCTACTAACAGAACAGGCTGGCCGTGGGTCCCACACTGTGAGGTCCCGGCACCTGCCATCTTCCACCCTCCCAGTCCTCTCTCCAGGAGCAGATCCGGCTCTGGGATTGTGGGGGGACTGGAGGGCGGGATGAAGGGTGTGGAGTTTGCAGTGCACTGCAACGGCTCGCAGGCCACCCACTCCGCTGGACTGCAGCCGGTTCCCACTTTCCAGGGCTCCTCTGTCTGGAGAGGAGCGGGGCTTCCCCCAGCCTCCGAGCTGGGCTTCCAGACTCCTGCTGGCATCCACCCCCCACTGAGGCTGGACCCACGGACAGGTGTCCAAAGCTCTGGGCAGCACTGGGCAGCTCATCTGGTGAAGAGCTGACCACGCTCTTGGCTGAGGTGCCAGGCCGGCTGGGGACCTGGGCTCCCGCACGCAGGACGGGACCGGGACCGCCCGCTGGGGAAGGTGGCCTCCCTCTCTCGCTCCCGCGTGTGCCCGGTGGACCCACCTGTGGCGCTCACCTGTAGCCCCGGAAGCACGCGGGGTGGTTGAACCGAGCCGGCAGGTCCTTGTCCACGCGGTAGTAGTCGCTGGTTTTCTCCAGGGGGGGCTGGGCCTCGGGCTCCGGGGGCTCCGCGCTCTCCACCGGCGCCGCGCACTCCACGGGCGCCCCGCACACTCCGGGGTTCTCCTGGGACATCCCGCCGTACGTCCGCAGGAGCTGCTCGGGGAAGG